TTTTTTGTGGTGAGCTACAGTGTCATTGACACTTTCATTATTTTTCAGATCCCTTGGAAAAGAAGACATACTTGACTATGTCAATGCTAACTTAAAGGCTCCCAGGATTGTCCTTTCGGCCTCAGGGGGTAAATAATACTAATATACTTACTAATGTTAATAAAAATTCTTATATCCAATTATATTGAATGTGAGGCAGTAGAGGACAAAGAGAACAAACTAGTTTATATATCTTAAACAATGTATAATACTATTTATATACAATTGCCTTGTCAATTAATTACATTGTAATTGTCGTATGTAATCCATGTTACTCTATTTGTTCAAGATGAAGAAGAAAAGTAATTATAACTTGTATTGGGCTGTGGCAGGCCCGTAGCCAGGGGGGGTTTGGGGGGGTTGCACCCCCAAAAAAAACAAAAAAAAAACTTCCATTTGAAAATTTGCAAGAATTTCACCTCAGGTATGCACCAGATCGCTTCATTTTAGTGTAATAATTGCAAAATCTCCATCGTGCGGGAGGGGGACACCCCACTCCCACACCCTCCCACCGCTCGGTCGCTTCGCGCCCTCACAAATTGCCAACATTTAAAAACGAACCCCCCCCCCCAATATAAAGCTGGCTACGGGCCTGCTGTGGGACATACTGTGGAAAGTTTGATTAACGAAGACTCGTAAATCAATATTTGCATACTCTGTCAAACTACCTAAAGTTTACTTATCTTATGCCAATCACAGAGTGCATGGTTCTTACCATGTCTGCTATGGAGGTCAAATCTTTTAATTTTTTAGGACAAGGCAAGTGTTGCCGTCCATCGCATTAGAAATTTTAGGGAACCACTGCAATATTTCCCTCAAAGGAGGGACTCTTGGGCAACGTACCTTTCATCAACACTGTTATGCTAGACGGGAAGAGATGCATACGCAACATGGAAATACACTGTAATTGGCTTGAACTTGATTTTAAGTTTATTACATTTTCACAAGCGTCATATGGCATTACGAATATTTTATTGACTCGCATGTGGTATGAAGATGTTTCTGCTCTGTATTTCAGGTGTGGATCATGACCAGCTGGTGCGTGCTGCAGAGAAGAGTGTGGGAAGTATGAAAGCTACATACGAGGGCACGGAGATACCTGTTTTGACTCCCTGCAGGTTCACCGGTAGTGAGGTGGGGCCAAATCAGATTGATGACCACTTTTGCTGCTCTCATGACTAGTTTATAAATAAACCAGATAATAAGTCATTCTTCAGAAAGCTAGGTTTTCAGTGTTTAATCTTGTTAGTAAGTTTTGTATGCGTCAGTATTACTCAATAATAATAATAAACATTAAATTAAAAATGTATTTTATTTAAGAAGAGGGTAGGGTAAAGGATGCACATAATAGTAATATCAAATCAAGATGGCTCAGCCTGTGCCTGTTTTATTTTAATTTCATGTTGTAGCAGAAGGTACCCACTTTCTTAGAAATTATGTGATTTCTAACTAGCGTATTCCTTAGTAATGACCACAATGCATTAAACGTTCCAGACAATGTTTCAGAATAATCTACTTCTTTCTTAATCTTCCACTACTTCAACAATCTACTATCAACGTACTTCTACAACTACTTCTGCCCTGTATATGGCTATATTCTAGTTAATAAATGTTTGCATAGGTTTTGCCAGCAACATACTTTGTGTTTCACAGCTCGTGCAACCATTACGGTACCACTATAAAATAATATTGTAGTGTTGTGTAATAAAAGTGTTTTGATGCCTGTTGTGTTTTAAATATAATATATCATGTGATTATTAATAATATGTTTTTTTAGATACGCCATCGTGATGACAGTATGCCATTTGCCCATGTTGCCCTAGCGATAGAGGGCGCTGGATGGGACAGCCCAGACCACATGCCTCTTCTCCTAGCTAACATGGTATGTGGGTCAAAGGAATTAGCAGAAATATGTCTACTAGGACAATTTAGCAAGTTATACTGTTTTCACTCACAATCACATTGCCAATAGACCCAGTTGGGTGTTTTTATTCCTAAACAGTTTTAAAAAGAAAAAACTTTATTTTATTACTTGTGGCTACTTGAAATTGCATAAATTGTTTACATGGAATAATTACACAAATTTTCTATTAATTATAATTACTGTATATAACTATGTAATTGTGCATGTGCCTAAAACTACAATAAAGCGCTATTGAGCGTAGAGTGAATTTGATAATGCACATATTGCTATTACCTCCTTGAATATTTAATTTTTAATGGAGAGGTTAGAAATGTTCAAGGGATGATGATTGAAGAAGACATCCTATTCTAAATTCACCTGGTTTTTATGTGGTATATATTCCTAAATATGTATTAATGTGCATTGGAAATTGGTTTGTTTTTGCTGCTATCAAGGTAGTCATTTTCTTCACGTACATTTTTTCCGTAATAGTAATGTCATAAAATTATTGGCTATTTCAGTTAGTGGGAAACTGGGATAAGACTCATTGTGGTGACGGGGTAAGTTCAAACTTTCATGATGTATCAGTTGCATGATGGTAAATGTATAATTACTGTAAATTAATCCCTATTCGTTATTGACTACTCGAACAACAAAATAAGCACTGTTAGTTGTTGCGCTAGCAACAGATATTTTGCCAATAAATTTGATGTCAAGTGAATGATCTCTCAAAAACGTCCAAAATCATAAAACGTAGTAGTTGAATATATGATTTCACCAATTAGCAGAAAGGCTACTTATTACAACAGTTACAAAGGATTTATGCTGTTACGCTATATAAATAAGCAAATAATGCAATCAGCAACTAACACAAGCAAATCGGAAGCAAAGTGCATCTGATTCTGTGGCGTAAGACGTTTTTAGTCTGGAACTGCACCTCTATTACGTTATGCAAGTTAGCATTAACAAAGTGTGGAGACAGTGTCTCATGAACAATTTCCTTCAACAAGTAAGCAATGACAAGCAATCAACAAAGAAATTTCAGTTGTTGCACATGTTGGTGAAAGTAACGATGTACGAGTGTTCTAAGACAAGTATCGCAATGGTCGGACAAATTGTTTAAAATCCATACTTTGTTTTATTACTATACTACTTCTCCTTATGCCATAACTGCCTGACAGTCCATGAAACACATTTCACTATTTCAAGAAAATAACTTGTATTGAATACCTGGCATTTTAGTAGCATACACTCTCCCTCACTCCCTCTCTGTCTCGCTCTCTCTCGCTCTCTCGCTCTCTCTTTCTCTCGGTCTCTCTCTCTCTTTGTCTCTATCTCTATCTTTATCTATCTCTCTCTCTCGCTCTGGTATTTGTGACAGCTTTGTTGGTTTACATAACAGGCCGTTTCCAGCAAACTTGCTCAGGCAGCTTTCGATGGGAGTCTCTGTGAAGGCTTCCAGAGTTTCTACAATTCGTATTCAAACACTGCTCTCTGGGGATGCTACTTCGTTGCTCACAAACTCTCACTGGAAGATTTCATATACAACATTCAGAGTGAATGGTAGGTGGCACCATGTTATTTTGTCATGTGGTTTACATTTTTTGCTATTGTTATAATATTACATAGACTTGCCAATTCTCACTGATTCGATTACAGTGTGGTCCCATTATAACGTGATCGTTGAGGTTCATGAAATGTCATCGCGAAAAAAGCAGGGTCGCGCTAAATCTGGGTGCAAGAAAATCGGTGTATAAACTGACCCTAAGCACTCAGTCGCAGTGAGTTGCAATGCGCCGCATCGCATCGCATTCAATCGCAATCAAAAAAAAGGTACAATGACTCATCGCGTTATATCCGAATTCGCATTAAATTGGGGCGCATAAAATCAGGGCTTCGCTGTACTATATTTTTCACTGCTACTATGGACTGGAATAAACAGATAAAACATAGAATATACACGTAAATTATGCAAAACGCACAGAGAGCCACAGAAATATTACGGACCAAATTAGCAGCTAATTACAGTCCATTGCAAAATACACGTACTAACCACGAACTGCTAACGGTCTGCCTGTTAACAATGTTCTAATCTCAAGCCTGCTGATTACTATGTTAAAGCGATTATTGCGAGAATTTTCCAGTGTTTTCACCACTTTCATGACACCTACCGTTATTGTTCGAGTAACAGCAATTGTCTAGAGTAACAATAAAATGTCTTAGAACCTTCGTATTCACCAAAAACTGCCAGTTTCGAACTACTGGTTTCGAACTAGTTTTGTAAACATTTGTTTTCTGTTATCTTGAACGAGGCGGAAGTGTGGATTAGCTTGTGGCGCCACCGCTTATCTGCCATAGGCAAAGCATGGCTC